AACTATGTTAAGGATATCGTAGTGCGGCTCGCAAAGTTGCAAGGTTTGGATAGCTGTACAAGGAATGAAGGTGGGCAGAATCTGCGAAAGAAGAACTGTTAGTTCGGTTGATAGACTAACAAACCGAAATAAAAAAAGTGCAAGGAAGAAGACCGAAGTTAAATTACCAGGCTCTCCTTTTTTCCAATTTATAGGTCGGCCAGGAATCTGGGCTTGAAAATCCTCAAAATTCCCAGAGACCCAGAAAAAGTCATCATCGTTTAAGTCTTTGTCCGGTGTATTTTTGATTATCTTCTCTCAGCGACGACGTATTCTAAGGTAATAGACCCACCCATCTTCTTTTGAGCCAATAGAATATTGATGGAAGATTTCGGCCAGCCCAAGGTTTAGTTCGACCTGTCGGTTCAGTTCGGCTATTCCCATAATTATTTGGTATGAATTGGTGGATAGTTGGGTAGGACATAATCTAGTTTGCCTAAGAAATTCACAGATTAAAGGTTGGACTGGAAATCGCAGTCCGGTTTCAATAATGGACAAAAGGGTGAAGGGGACGAAGCCTTCATTATCCCAGGGAATAACATCTTTTTCGGCCAAGATCAGATGGACACCATCAGGTATTTGGTAGTCTTTCCTAAATTCGGCTAGACCGCCCGGAGTATTTACTAGGTGCCTATACTTCCCCATTTGTGGTATAATTTACAAATAAGTTATATCGATGCAAAAATGGTGCTCGATAGCTCGGTCGAGCGCACGAAGGAGTGTCTGGGCAACCTAAGTCTGCAAAGTAGAAAACAATGGGGTTAAGCACAGATCATAAGACTGTGCTACAAATTAAAAACAAGGTAATAAAAGCCCTACTTCGGTTTCATGGAAAGGTTCTATCTCGGTTCAGCAAAAATGATTGGTAGCTCGGTTCGAGCAGGGTTTTTATTAGCCAGATCTTGGCAAATATCTCGGCATATTGGCTTTGAAATCAATTTTTAGACCGGTTCATCGTCTAGGGGCAGCTTCCTGAGTTCGGTCTAAAGACTCAGAAAGCTGGTTTAGCCCCGAGGCCTAAATCGATTGACCTATGAGTTTTGTTACTCCGGTTGAGCCTCTAGGGGCAGCTTTCTGAGTTTGGCTTAGAAACTAAGAAAGCTGGCTTAGCCCCAAAAGCCTAGCTCGGTTAAAGGCTGGGGTTCCTAAGTTTACTAAGTTTAAACCTCGTTCGGTAGGGTTATCTCGGCTGAAGTAAATCAGGAGTTGGTAACTTATTGCAACTACGGTTATTTCTACAAGTTGTAGTTCGGTTATCACCTGAATTAATCTACTTATATAGCACAAAACAGTATCCTAGTTCGGTTGGGACATGTTTTTGGATCAAAGACTAGTCTTCTACAGGATATTTTACATACACGCACAAGTTCAGTGAAGTTTTTCCAGTAAAGTACAGAAGCAAAGCAGAAAATAGACTAATATGTTTCACAACAACATGGAAAGCAAAATACGAAAACAAATAAAGCAAGGAGGTTAGATTTGCTTACCAGAGTAAAAAGGAAGAAGCTAGAAGATGGAAGCAATGGCAGCAATGAAGGGCACGAACACAGAAAGCTCAAACTCAGGGCTCAAGAACAAGAGAGAGAAGAAGTAAGGAGTAGAGTAAATGATTCAAAAATGAAAGGATTGTTTTGTGTAAAGGACGAAAAGAAAAAGGCGGGACTGTTTCAAAATCACGAAGTACGAAGACGGCGTGATAGCCGTCCTCGGCCAATCAAAGCGTGCCACGTGTCATGAGAATGAGAAGCGTTACAGTTACAGTGATTGAAGAGACGTTTTGACCGAACAAGTAGAGCCGGAGTAAAATAAGCTCGGCTGGAGAGGCTAAAGAGGTTTTTTAGCTCGGCTGGAAAGGCTTAAAAACGTTAGCTTGGCTGATCACCAGGTAATCCCAATCATGCTGTGTAGATGGAATTAAGGGGCAATTGAGAGGGTAATTTTTAACCCTTTATTATTGGTAATGATTTTGTGGTAACCCCCACAGGTCAGCCACATTTTTTTGGCAAATCTCCGACAATATTTTTTTGACAACAATCCCATGCGCTTTCCTGCCAAAAAAAAAAAAAAAAACCTTTGGTTTAAAAAAAAATTTTGCTTTTTTTTTTTTTTTTTCGTATTGAGATTTTTAGCTTAGAACTAAAAAATTTGTTTGGATTAACTTTTTATTTTTATTTTTATGAGAAAAAAATAAAATAATTATAATTTTAATGTAACATTTTATATTATTAACTTATTTAATTTGTTTTATTTTTTTAGTCAGCCAAACGAAGCTTTTGATTACAAAGTTAGATGATGTTTGGTTACAAATAAAGTGACAATGGTTTTGGACCTAAGTCTTCGTTCGAGATGTGCGTTCCTTTTTTTATTTTTTTGATTATTTTGACTTGAGGTTAAAAAGTTTTTTTGGAATAAATTTTTTTGACTTTTTAAACTTTTGTGAAAAATAAAATAAAATAATTATGATTTAGATATGATATTTTATCTTATTAATTTTTTAACATATTTTATCTTTTTATGACTATTTTAATCCAAACTATTTATACCATATGAAACCTAAAAGCATTTTTAATAGAGAACTGTATGTATTATATGACTAAAAATAATAAAAGTAAAACAAAATTTTGTGTTAAATAATACTTTAATATATTTTGTAAGAGTGAAAGTAAAATAAAAAATAATAAACCCTCGCTCGATTCCTCCATCAATTGTCTCTTCCTCCCCGTCTACATATCTCTCTTCTGTCTTTCTTACTAAAAAAAACAACCCAGTACAATTATCAATGAATTTAGGCCATGTTTGTTTGGGCGGACTGGATTAACATTCCTATGACTAATAGTCATAGGATTACGAATCTGTTGGATTATGTATCCTATCTTAACTAATAGTCAAGTTTAAAATAATTAGTCCATACTTTAATTGTTTAACCAAATATCGGATTAATAATTTTATTAGACTATTAGTCCAATCCTAAGCTCATGTCCACCCAAACAAACATGACCTTAGAGTTTAACAACTTCAATCGAACATGAAAAATAAGGAAAAATTTGTTTGTTGCGAACATGTAATGTTGTGTTTAATTGAGAGATTTGGAGAGAAAAAGAGTAAAAACGTATGAAATTAGGTGAAATATAGGTATATTTTATCCACATTTTATCTACTTTTTCTATTTTCTTTTCTAAATTTCTCCTCAAACTTCCCGGCCAAACACAGTATAACTGTATAAATGTAATCTCACTCAAGAGTATCCACTCGATGCTCTAAAGCCTATTTTGGGAATAAACAGTTAACAATTTGTTGTAAAAAAAAAGTCAATTCTAAAAACAATTCTAAGGCTAAGACTAGTGTTCTTATGAATCCTATATGATTTTAAATTACAGTAACAAGTTTAAGTAATTTTATACTTTTTTTTATTTATAAATTCATACTATTTTATAAAGTCATTTTTTAAGTTTAAAATTTTGTTTTGAAAATATATGTTCTTAAAAATACAAAATTTAAATTATAAAATATTGATGTTTGGGGGAGGGGGAGAATAAAGGGTAACTTATATTAGCACACTTTTTATCTTTTTATTTATTCGACAATGCTACGTAGCTCAAATTTTGTGGCTCAAAAGTGGCTCAAATGGCCAAAACGACGTCGTTTTGAGTATAGAACAACATAAAAATGGCCAAAACGACGTCGTTTTGGCCATTTGAGCCACTTTTGAGCCACAAAATTTGAACTACGAGACATTTTTCTTATTTTTTTTAGTCACATATTTATCTACTTTTCTACACATCTCTTTGTGAAAAATTAAAAAATATACTTAAATAACCCCTTAAAATAGATGTGATTTTGATTAAAAAAATGATAAATTACAAATACGATATATTGAGATTAGTTTAAAATATGGTTTGTCTCATATAATTTTGAAAATGACATATGGTTCCTTGAAGACAAATGATTTTTTTTATTAATAAATCGTCAAATCAATTAATAATTTTTAACGAAAGAAATTAGTAAAACATCCATTTTCAAAAATATGAAAGGTTTAATATGTTTTTTCTTATTAGTTAAGGTCTCTTAATAATATTGTTAGATAAATTTCAACTCAAATTTCTCTGTTACAAATTTCTATATGACAAGTTGAAATTTCTTTTCAAAGAGTTGAAAATTTCCTGTGAAAATATTGAAGAACTCCAATTACTTTAAATGTCATTTATCTTATAAAATTTTAATATAAAGAATCTTAAACTAAAAATTATTTTTTAATGAGATCATAAATTTATTTTAATTAATAATTCATGTAATTTTATCATTATATAAAATAACAGTTAGACATTATATATTTTTAATTAATTCAGTTAAATAAAAAATACAAACAATGAAATATTTATAATTTTTCGAATTATAAAGTACAAAATGTATTTCAAATCAATTATAAAGGGTATATTTATAATTTATAATTAAAAAAAAGAGTAAATTACACTGACCCGTCCAGAGATTTAATCCAATTACATCCCATCCCTTGATATTTTAAAAATTATATTCCGACCTATTTAGTTAATAATTTTATTTCATAAATCCTTACTTATATAAAAGACAACAATTTCTAACAAAAAATATAAAAAATTATATTTAAAAAAAATAAAACAAAGGAAATGAGAAAAACAGAAGAAGTAAAGTAAATTAGAAAAAAAAAGAACATATAAATTTAATATTTTCATTCAATCTAAATAATAATTTTCATTCAATCTAAATAATAATAATAATAAACAGAGTTAATATAATTTTTTAAATGCTAAATGTAATATGTATTAAACCAAAACTTCAATGATGTAATTGTAATTTACTCTTAAAAAAAACTCAGCCTATTGCGCCGAATATATATTAATATTTTAGATTTTACTTTTTATTTTTTTGCTAATAAAAAAAAAACTCAGATATATATAGAGCTGGCCTTTTCGATTTGCGAGCAA